TCTATTTTTTTAGGTGGGCCCCGAGTGTCGATTTACTCGATGTCAAAGTGGTAACGCGTTCTATGCCGCGTTGTGATTCACGTGGTATAATCTGGTTGCTCAAAACCATTACCGAGTGAATGGGAAATTGAAGCCAAAGTGTGTCCATGGAAATGGAGTTTAGGTGGAAATTCCTTAAGGTTGTAAATTGGGTTGTCCCACATAATTTGGTGGGAAGTTTTGAAAAGGGTTTATAAGGCTTGGGTTAGATACTTGGGGTTACCCCCCAAGGGGTACCAAGTGTTTTAGAGGGAGAGGTTATGGACCAAATGGGCTAGACCCATTGGACCCAAAATCACCACACGCGCGCCGCCGCTGCCGTCCGTCCGGTCGGGCGGGCTGGGCCGCGGGTGCGTGGTTGGGTTGGGCTTGTTCGGCCCAATACTAATCTTTTTGGGCCAAAAACATTTGAATTATTTTATTTTTGTTAAAAATAAAATCCAGAATTCAAAATTAAACTGGTTTTTGGATTTACTGTTCATCCAAACAGGGCCCTTCCCGTTTTCAAACAGAATTAAACTGGTTTGAATTTACTGTTCATACCAAACCAGAGCCCTTTCCCAGTTTTTATCTGTTTTGGATTTACTCGTGATCATGGTTTGAACTTTACTTGATATCCAGCAGTACTCGAAGGTTATTGTGATGCCAATTGGATATCGGATACTAAAGATTCAAAAATCACTAGTGATATGTCTTTACTCTAGGAGGCGCTGTTGTTTCTTGGAAGTCCACGAGACAAACTTGCATTACACGATTCTACAATGGAATCCGAGTTCATTGCTTTAGACAAAGCAGGTGAAGAAGCAGAATGGCTTCGTCACTTCTTAGAAGACATTCCAATGTGGCCAAAACCTGTGCCAGCATTTGCATTCATTGTGATAGTCATCTGCAATAGGCAGGGCACAGCAATCACATGTATAACGGTCAGTCACGACATATGTTCGTCGTCGACATTTAATACCGTAGGCAATTGTTGGTCAAACAGAATAATCTCAATAGATTATATAAAATCTAAAGAGAATATTGCGGATCCGTTAACAAAAGGTTTGACAAAGAAGCTAGTGTATAGTTCATCAAAGGGGATGTGATTAAAGCCTATTACATAAGAGTCGTCATAATGGTAACCCTACTTATATGACTGGAGATCCCAAGAACTAAGTTCAAAGGGACAACTAAGTTATGTATGGCTTCGCCAGAAATCACCAAGGGATTAAAATTCCTACCCATTCCTATTGTGAGAGTGATATCTGCAACATATGTTGTCTGCAGGGGTATAAGGATAGCTTTGCTTTTAATGATTACTTATATCTTGATTAAGGCATAAATCAAGACGAGTATAAGGAGATACTCACAATAAGAATCACCTATATGAGTGTTGAACTGGGGCCGGTTCTATGAGAATGAAAAGGCTACATTCTCTAGAAATACTCATGAAAACCAGGTGCATTCAAGGCCAAAATGAACACAACAGTGAGAACCACGATGTGTTAGAAGATATTCTGTGTGAAATCTACTGTCTTGACTTACACAAACGGCTGAACAATTCAAGGCATCGCGTCATTGGTTAGCCAGTAAGTCCGATAGGTTATCACTAGGGAAGGTTCAAGGCCGAAAAACTACCTATCCTGATGCAAGATATTTTCGACTTATACTCTTTCGTTAAGTCTGCATATTGTTGCATTTCCGTTGTCATCAAATTCCATTCATGTGGGGGATTGTTGGAAATGGTAGAAAAAATTCTGGGTAAAACCAGAATTTTTCTCCAAGTTTGGTCTATTTTTTAGGTGGGCCCCGAGTGTCGATTTACTCGGGTCAAAGTGGTAACGCGTTCTATGCCGCGTTGTGATTCACGTGGTATATTTGTTGCTCAAAACCATTACCGAGTGAATGGGAAATTTGAGCCAAAGTGTGCTCCATGAAAATAGAGTTTTGGTGGAAATTCCTTAAGGTTGTAAATTGGTTTGTCCCACATTGATTTGGTGGGAAGTTTTGATAGGGTTTATAAGGCTTGGGTGAGATACTTGGGGTGTGCCCCAAGGGGTACCCAAGTGTTTTAGAGGGAGAGGTTATGGGCTAGACCCATTGCACCCAAAAAATCACCACACACGCGCGTGCCGCCGTCTGTCCAGTCGGGCGGGCTGGGCTGGGCTGGGCGCGGGTGCGGGGTGTGTGGTTGTGCTTCTAATCTTTTTGGGCCAAAAACATTTGAATTTAATTTTATTTTTTGGTAAAATAAAATCCAGAATTCAAATTAAACTGGTTTGGATTTACTGTTCATCCAAACAGAGCCCTTCCCGGTTTTTATCTGTTTGAATTATTAACCCAACAGATTCAAATCTGTTTAAATTTGAAACTAACAGGTTTCATACCTGTTCAATTCAAAACCAAGAGCCACCTTTACATCAATAAATAGACTAGCCTCCCATTTGGATTTCACTCGAATTTTCGTACTCCATTCTCTGCTTTAAATCTCTGCATTTTGCTGCATCTTATTTCTGAAAGAAAAAGTGTAAACACTTTGTGTGTTCGACGAACGATTAAATTGTAGTGCTGCTTTTATTCGTTGATAAGATCATTTTATCCTGGGAGATAGACGTCCAAATTCTGATAGCACCGTGGAGAGGACGAATCTGTCTTAAGGACACAGTGTTAAACACTGGACTTGATCAGAAAAGTTATTCAAATAAATTAACCAAGTAAGTTGTTTAATTTTATTCTGTTTTTATTTGTTTATTTAATCAGATTTTATTTTTGTTTTTGTAACAAAATAAAATCTGTGGTTTTATTTATTTATTTATTATTTCGAGTTTGATTTTTGTAATCAAACAAATTCTCTCATTTTCTTTATTTCTTTTTATTCTTGTTGTTGTTTTGTACACAACAGAATTTAACTTAATTAAATACAGTGAAAATTGTCCAACAGGTTATTGTAAAACTTCAATTACATGAATTCACTTCTAGATAGTCCTGTTAAACATGCCATAAGAGGTTTACTTTTTGTTTTTGAAGGAGAAAACAAACCATTAAACTTGGGTTTCAAGTGGCACCTGCTCTATAGTGTTGAGATGGTTGATGAATTGGAATCAAATGAAAACATGACTTGTTCTTTTTTTAGATAGGAAGAAAACATGACTTGTGAAGGAGCAAAAAACCAACTTTGTGCAAATGAGCTTTTAAAAATCCATTAGTGCATGCAACTGGTGAATGCAAATGAGCTCTTTTTTTTTTTTTTTTTAATTAAATGAGGTTCTGGTTTATTTTTCTGCATGAAATTAATTGTTACTATTGCTCTAATAGTGCTTCTATTTCTAAAAATACTTCTTTTGAACTTGATTTTATTTTCCTCCTAATTAACATCTGCGGCCCACTCTTTCATGTGATAACATTTCTCACTTTAACACATGAGCCCAAATGATCTGTTGTGTCCTATTTATATGTATAAGCGTAGTTGAATTAGACACTAATTAATTTGAAAGAATTACAATTAAAAATAAATTTATCATGTCATTAGTCTTTATATACTTGCTATTCTCAATTAGTATTTTGTGTGGTTATTGGTAATTTTATTTATTTCCTTGATTAGACTCTCTACAAAATTTGTTAGGAACAAGTTGAGAGAAGAAATAGATTACTTTTGACAAACATAAGCTTCTAGCTTTATGACGTACATAAGTTGAAATAGAAACTTAGTGGAGCATTGCACCCATTCAATTCATATAATTTTATTTTTATTTTTTTAATTTATGTTGTTTTTGGTAATTTGTGCCATATGCTTGAGGTCAGAGTATCTAAACTAAACATATGCATCTATGAATGGATCTTATGGAAGTGAAGTAGAACTATAGAAGTTTATGTGGAGTCTAAATTTTTTTTCTCCTAGTAACAAGGACTAAATATTCATATCATGATTCATGACATCATTTAGATTGAGCTAAGTGCCTGTTTGGAAAGTGGGTTTGGAAGTTTTTTTTGGCTAAAATAGCCACAAAAAATAAAATATGCTTTTTAACCCAACAAAACAAAACATCACACCTAAGTAATAATCATTACATTCTTTCTCTCACAAAAAAGTCCAAAAAATTAAAAACCTTTTTCAAACCAAACTTTTTAGCCTTAGGCTAAAATAATCAAAAATGCAAAAAAGTTAAAAAGCCAACCCACTTCCCAAACCAAGCTTAAGATACCAACAAATCATATCAACGGCACTGAAGTGAAAGAATATTCTTTTTCAATATTGAACTAGACACACTGAGAGACAAAGGTAATGTCTCAAAAGTAGCTGCTAAAAGACATTACTGAGGCTGGTGTAGAGGCTATTAGCAGATTATGGAGAGCATTATTTCGTTTTGAGGGACAACCTTTGTCCTTTTGGTGAGCCATTATTCAATAGTTTGACATTTTGTAGTATTGTTGATGTTAGGATAGGTTGTGTATATAAGCAGGGCCCGACACGAAAGAACAAGGCATGATATCAAGTTTCTTTGTTTTGGGATATTGGTGAAAAGGTGCAGGTAATGTTTTGGTGTTGCCTTGTCATTTTTACTGTAGAAGGGCGATTTATTTTGTATGCTAGTTTATTAGTTTTTAAGTTAATTAAAATGGTAGTTGAGATTTTTATTAGTTATTTGGAGGTTTGGTCCCCTGCTTTGTTCTGATTTTTCTGGGACAGCAGGGGAGTGCTTCTCAAAAGCTGTGTGTTGGCCTCACTGGGACAAAAGTTCGAAATTATAAAACAGAACAAACACACAACACAAGTACACAATGATTTATGTGGTTCGGCTATAGCTTACGTCCATAGGTGAAAAGGGCAAAGGAATTTCACTATGAATAATGTAGAGAAATACAATGAGTCCTCCCTCTCACTACAATCTCTCTGTACATAAGCATTGTCTGGGTTGAATTTCATATATACCCACAACGTAGTATTTGAAGAAACAACAATCATGCTATTAATTAAAACCTTAATGGAAAATCTCAATAGCAATGTTGGAGTTTGGTATCTCTGAAATCCTCTTGATACCCCAATACTGCCCCAACGCATCCAGTCGATAACGTGTTCTAGACAGCCCTTCGGCTTCTTCCTCCATTCTTTTTTGCATTTTGCAAGCATGAAATTCACCAAAGTCTTCAGAAACATTACCATCCACGTGCCTTGTGGCCATGCAACTATGCGATACGAGCCCATCTGATGGTAAACGCGACATGAGCAAGTAGGGTTTAGGAAGCCTGAATGAACTCTGGAATGATGAATCAAGAGCTGCTTTCGCTGCCTTGGGAAAAACAACTCTGTTTCTCGCCTCTTTGATACTTTCATTTGCAGCTGAAACGAAAGGATGCCCTAAGAGCATATCAGCAGTCCACCGTGACTTCGGATCCCTAACCAAGCACTTCTTGAGAAAATCTTCAGCCTCCTTCGACAACCCACTTGGAATTTCGGGCACTTTTTCAGAAAATCCAATCCTAAAAAGAATAGTGGCTACTTCAGTACCTTTGTTGCGCTTCCAAGGCTCTTTTCCAGTCAGCATTTGTAATACTGTGCACCCGACTGCCCAAATATCTACATGCGGTTCATATTCTTCACGCAGAATCGATTCCGGGGCCATATACAGAGCAGTGCCCCTCAGTCTCGGCTTGTTTTCTTTTTCTTTCAGTTTCTTTCCAGCCCTCTTTGCAAGCCCAAAATCAGCAATCTTTGCACTACTTTCTTAAACCCTTTTCCTCTTTCCATTCAAACTCATTGAGAAGTCACTCTTGTCCTCCACAAGCAATATATTATGAGGCTTGATACCACAGTGAACATAGACCTTCTTGTGAATGTAACTGAGACCCAGAAGTAGAGATTTTGTATACCGTCTGACTTCGCACTCAGGCAATCCTCTGCAAAAACTTTGAATAAGATCTACCAAACTACCACCTGAAGCTTACTCCGACAGGATGTTGTGCCATTTGTCACGTCCTACCAAATTACCTGGACAGAATTGCCAACCAAAAGAAAGTCTCATGGAAGGGAGGCTCATGGAATATTCTGGAAGCTCTTGGAAGACTTGAGAAAATATGGGAATATGGAACAAAGTGCTATAATGTACGTGGAAGCTTCTAGAACTTCCTAGAGTATTGTACATACTTGTAGATATTTGTAGATCCTCCTAGATTTGTACATTCTAGAATAACTCTAGAATAGTCTATAAGATAGAGTATGAGGAAGGATCTAGAATCCTCTCCATCATTATAGGTCTAGAACATTCTTTGTAGCCTATAAAAGGGGGAGGGCCTCATCTGCCCAAACCATCCATAAGCTATCTAAGTGTAATCCAAAGCATTCAAAGCAATACAAGCTAGCATTCTCCAAGAGCTCTCTCTAAGTTTCTCTAGTGTGTGCAATCTTCTCCTAGCTCTCTTCCAAGAAGGCTTACTTAGGTGTAAGCAAGGGGTGCATAAGCATCTAAGGCCGCACGGTTGGCTTGGAAAAAACCAAGGCCGTGACAGTTGGTATCAGAGCCAAGGTTATGAAGGCGTCGTGAGTAAGGAAGGAAGAGCACCATGGCGGAAGTAGTCCACACTGAAAGAACCGCGGAAGGGATATTGCTACAAACTTGGGCAAGAAGGTCAAAGACAAGTCACGTGACATCATAAGTGCTATAGAGAGCCGAGTGGGCAAGGTGGAAGTGGTCGTGGCTGATGTCAAGAAGCGACTAGATCGATTGGAACAAGGGATGGAGCAACTTAACGGCAATATGAAAAGCCAAGTCGAGAAATTGCTTGAGTCCGTGCGGGACACCATCGGAACCAACCATGAGACCCACAAGCAATAAAGCTATGTCTTCGAGGAATAGATCTTAAAGGCTATCTCTCAACTCCAAGAACAAGTGCAAGAGCTAAAGGAAGGCTTGGAGAATACACGGGCGGACTCGGCTATGTGTAAGCGAGTTGTAGCCAGTGGTGGCATTGCCACTAATGCGAGATTCACTCCAAGGCTTGAGGCACCAAAGCCTAAAGAGTTCGATGGCAAAAGCGATGCTAAGGAGTTGAACGACTACATTTGACACTTAGAGAGGTAATTTGAAGCCTTAAACTTAAACGATGAAATGGCTAAGGTACGCATTGCTTCTCTCTACCTCACTACGCTTGCTGGGATTTGGTGGCGTCGTAAGCATTCTGAAATTGAAAAGGGCACTTGCACTATCTCTTCATGGGAGGACTATAAAAATGAACTCATGAGGCAATTCTATCCTGAAAATGTGGCACATGAAGCACGACTAAAGATGAGGGAGTTGAAGCACACCCGCTCTATCCGGGACTATGTCTAAGAATTCTCTGGGTTAATGCTTCAAATTCCTAGTATGAGTGATGATGACTTGCTCTTCAACTTCACAGTTGGTCATAAGTAGTGGACACAGTTGGAGCTACAACGAAGGGGTGTCAAAGACATTTCCACTGCACTCACCGTGGCTGAAACATTGGTGGAATATACAAAGCCAGAATCTTCTAACTTGGAGTCCACCAAGGATGGTCACGGCAACAGTGGGGGAGCAAAATGGGCCAAAGAGTCTAGGGATTCTAAGGCTCTAAGGTACAAAGAAGGTGGAGGCAAGCCACCATCAGGCAAAGATTGGAAGAAAGATGCCAACAAAGACATCAAGCCTAAGGACAACTGCTTCATTTGCGATGGGCCACATTGGACGCGGGATTGTCCTAAGAGAAAGAGCCTTAGTGCAATGCTGGAAAGACAAGAAAGGGAAGAGCAAGCACAGATGGGATCTCTACAACTACTTGGTGCCATAGAATCGAAGCCTACTACATTAACCCAATGGGATAAGGGTTTAATGTACGTAGATGCCAAGATCAATGGGAAGGCGACCCAAGTCATGGTAGACACAGGCGCGTCGCACAACTTCATCAAGGCAGAGAAGGCCAAGCGGCTTGGTCTAAAACTTGACAAGGGACAAAGACTAATGAAGATAGTAAACACCAAGGCAAAGCCCATGGATGGCCTGGCTCAAGGTGTTGAGTTGCACCTTGGTGGATGGTGCGGAAAAGTTGATTTTTCAATAGCATCGCTCGATGACTATGATGTGGTTCTAGGAATGGAGTTCTTGCGAGAGTTCAACGTGGCACTGTTACCTCGCAACAACACTATGTGCATTATAGAGGATGGGCCTTACATGGTGCCAATGGTGAGTAAGGTAAATACTAAACTCCAACTTCTATCAGCTATGTATATTAAGTTGGGGACGGACAAGAAAGAGGTAGTATTAGTAAGCACTACCAAGAGGATGGAGCAAGGCGCCAAGCCACTAGCAAAGGCACCATATGAAGCACCGGTATTGTGTCAGAAGAAGCACAATGGATCAATGCGGCCATGCACCAACTACTAGGCTCCAAACAAGAATGGCGCAGCAGAAGCGTGGTTAGCAAATAAAAATACGCACCACCAAGTGTTTAAAGTTGAAAACTTGGTAAAGAGAAACGGACTACCAGAAAGCGAGGCTGATGCTTTTGGAAGTTCCAAGAGCAAACACAAAGATTTCGCAAGGAAGGCGCGACGAGGGCGTCACCGCATTAGGTGGGGGAGAATGTCATGAACTGATAAATTTTGATGCTGCCTCTCACAAGAAAGCACTAGCAGGCTGTGGAGATTGCTAGAAGCCTCCAGAACTCCTTAGAGAATGGCTACAAGAGGAGAGGCTAAAATAGAATTCTCTAGAACAATCAAGAGCATGGAAGAACTTGTACATAAGTCTAGAAGCTTGTACGTAATTCTTGTATATTCTAGAATAGGTTCTTTGAGAAGATGAGGGAAGGATCTAGAATCCTCTCCATCCATGTAGAACTAGAATACTTCTAGAATAGTCCATAAGATAAAGGTGGAGGAAGTGTCTAGAACACTCTCCATCATACTAGGTCTAGAACATTCTTTGTAAGCCTATAAAAGAGGGAGGGCCTCATTTGCCTAAACCACCCAAGTGGACCAAGTGTAATCCAAAGCATTCAAGCAATACAAGCAAAGCATTCTCCAAGAGCTCTCTCTAAGCTTCTCTAAGTCTCTCTTCTGTGTGCAAACTTCTCTTAGCTCACTTCCAAAGAAGGCTTACTTAGGTGCAAGTAAGGTGTGCATAAGCATCTAAGGCCGCATGGTTGGCTTGGAAAAACCAAGGTCGTGACACAAGGCATGCCATAGATCAGAAACTGTGTCACAATAGAGAAACATGTGATAAATATGATCTTCTATGGAGTTGAACATCCATCCCAAAATAGTACAGTTATCAATATCTCACTGTGCACGGGTAGGATATGTTGCAGCAGGCTGGGTAGTGGAAGATAAAAGCTAATGAGCTTTTCCCTGTCCCCTAAATAGAGTTTAAGGGAGCAGCTCCAGGTGGCAAAAATTTTCCCATTCAACACTACACTCGTAATACAATGAACAAGAGTGTGATGAGAAAGAGAAAAATCAGAACTCATTCGAACAGGCTTGGTGGGTATATCAGCAAAGGATGGATGAGTCATGGTGGAATAAGATGGGCTGAAAAACACACAAAGATAACAACAAAATCCAAGAAAAAATAAGAAGTCGGAAAAAACTCAACGGCTTATCCAAATAGATGCTACCGAATAAACCCAGTAGCCCAAAAGAATAAAAGGACAGAAAAAGGGGCTTAATACATCAGTCTAATCACCCCAAGGGGATAAAAATAGCCACGGACCACCTACAGAGGCAGCCGAAGCACATAAGACCAGAACCAAGTCTGGTCGACAGCAACCAGAGCCTTGGCAGGGATAAAGAAGGCCTATCGAGGTGAAGACAAGGAAGGAGAGGGGTTGTGGAGGCTAGGTTGGGGTTGGGTTGAGGCTGTCGGAGGGAGAAAAGGAGTTAGAAAGGGCTGTCAAAGGCTAGGTGAAGGCTGGGAAGGGTTGTCAAAGGGAGAAAAAGAGCTGAAAAGGGCTGTCAGAGGCTAGAGAGAAGAAAGAAGGCAGTCGGTGGTGCTGGGTGGTTAAGAGAGAGATGGCTAGGGAGGCTCCGATATTAAAAAGAATAGAAAGAATTATTTGGTTTACCAATCAATGAGGTTGAAGCCATGTATATAATATATTCATGATACAATTTAGGAAACAATATGCATAAGGTAAGATTCCTACAATCAAAATAATTCCTATTCTAATTTACATATTCAAACATAATATTTTGATTTCTATATTCAACATGTATATGTTTGGGCATGCATTCATAATAACATTTACTTGTGCATACTACTATGAATGTCCCTTTCTTCTGTGTGATACTGTGAGATGAATCACATTACATGATTTTATGGTGAGTACGTTTGCTTGGTGTTGCAAACGTATTTGGATATTACATGAGTTGTAAGCTAGTCTCCAGTTGGATTTTGGTTTGAGTGAAGAATGTGACCATTGAAAGAATTGGACAAGTGTGAACTAAATTGTGGACTAGGTAGGGATCCTAGTGGATGGGATTAGATTGTTAACTAGAATGGATTTACAATAGAACATGATAGGTTGATGGGTTTATTCATGTATCTCATTCACTTAGTTGTACCTGTACACTTGCACATATACCATAATAGCATGTTGGGTTGTGGAAGATTTT